AACTGAAAGAAATCTTAAGAGGATTTTTCCTTTCAGGAAAAACGGGACAATAGTATTCAGTATCTGTTTTGCAGGGAGCCGTTTACAGAGGCAGTGCTCACCCCCCAGCAGCGAGAGGGCACCTCCAAGCCCTTTTCCCGGGAACTACACTCAGCACCTTAGCATCAGGCCACGAAAGCTTTAAACTATCTGTGAGCATCTGTGCTTTATCTCAACTTATTTTTGCGTGTCCTTAGCAAGATGTGCCATCAGGTAATTGCTTCTTCACTTTACTCCATTTCTGCTTCCCAAAGTTTTCACAGGAACACTCAACTTTCAGATAGCGGAGAAAACTTTTATTCCAATAGAAGTTGGAATAAAAAAAATTCCAAATTTGCTCATCCATTAATGGATGAGCAAACAAAAAATTGCATCATTAATGATACTGTTGAAATTTTTATAACTGATCCCTTAAAACTGATGATTAATATTACCTTCCTCCTGGTCAACTTTCCCCAAAGCATATTCGTTTGAATAAAAATCTTGATAAGAAATCAACAAAATACTTACGCTAGGGTAAAATAACTGTTTATACTACTTTAATCCATGTTTCCTTTTGAGAGATTCACCAGACACATTAGAATAGGAGAAGTCCTGAGCCATCTCAAACAAGCAGATAAACAAAAACACTTATTTCTGGTTAATCAGTTACGTCTACAATATATTGGACCATAACAGTATTTTTCTTCAGAAGAGTGGTTGGGAAACAGTTCTAGATGGTATAGTTTTCCAGAATTCTTTCTTTATATCCTGCTGCTCTCCATATTTAGGAAAGTAAACAAAGCCCTGAAGTAACAGATAAGTTAAAATTCCATTTGCTATTTCACAGCACACCCCACAAGAAAACTGTTTGTAAACCACAGCTTGAGATTCTCAGAGGAAAAGAAGAATATCAGCGAGCTCAGTTTAGACATTGCACATTTAATTTTGCCTTTTGGGCTCTGCCTCTTGTAGCAAAGCTCAGCTTTGAATCAGAAGTACCATTATTGTACTGTGAGCTTTAAAAAGATAATTGATATTCACCCTGGATTTAATGTCCTTGGAGAGAGATTTCAAGAACAGAATTTTAGTGGTTGATTCTAGACTTTTCCTTGTCTGTAAACCTTACAGTTTACATAGGCAATAAATATTTTTTGAAATCAGTAAAAATGGAAGCAAGAGACTAACAAGTGAGAGAAGTACAATACAAAAATAAGCAGTTAGTACTTGGAAACGCCTCCTTTTTGGTATAGCGTAATATTTTTTGTTGTTCTTTTGAATATTTTGTTTAGCAAGAGAACAGAAATCTTCTACAGGGACTAGGAGATGCCATCTGGTGATTTTATACAATATCACTACTAAAAAAAGCTCTATTTTCCCCAATTGTAATAGATCTAAAAACTCATTCTTTTGAGATTTCATTGATAGTGCTCAGAAAAACAGATTTTTCTTTAATTTCTTTTTAGCATTCAAGAAAATAAGCTAAAAGCTATTTTCATGATTTAAAACACCTATATGATATATAATACAAATTAAGGAATGGAAAGAAAAACTGATATAGATCAAGAATCATAAATTCATAAAACTTCAGAGAATCCAAAATATTTTGAGAAGTATAATAAAAAATTATCTTAATATATTTCCTCTGGAAATCATAGCTATCAAAAGGCTACAAAAGGCCATGTTACAAACATGTGGATTTTTAATCCATAGAACAGATGGCAGATTTTCATTTTATTCAATTGCTTTACTAAAGGGATGAATCAAACATCTGGTAGAATTTTTATTTTTACTTCATTTGCACTTATAATTCTAATTACATATAATGGAGTGCTAAGGACAGTTAACAGAATGCTGTTATAGAAACATAATAATAATGTAGGATTATTAATTCAAAACTGCCATTTCTGGGAAAAGCCTAGAAATCAGTAGGTGGCAAGTAAAATATGAAACATTTGCTCAGAAACAATTGTCAGTTTTACGTGTCAAAATATATGGATGGTCATGCATAGCTGTTTGTGTTAATGATTAGTACTGATGTATGTTGTTAGATTAAAACAATGGATGCATTATACAGGGAAGAAAGAACATCTATAGAAGATGAGAGAGGAGACTGCCAATTTTGGGTTTTAGCCAAATTCAATTTCACTGGGTTGTTAATAACTTGATTGGAGGTGACTGTGTTTATTTTGGGAACCTGTGCTTTTACATGATCACAAAATGCGATAACGCATATGTAGCTCAGACTGAAAAATACACGACACGATAGACCTGAAGATTGTATTTTCAATTTTGATTTAAATGTTTACTTGTCCACAGCAGTATTTTATGAAGTCCCTGAACTTATGAACCCATGCCAGTCTACATGGCTGGTTTAACATGTGCAATGCTTGATTGTTTTTCTGAATGACCACTAATATTATTTTGTGTACATAATTCACAATATTCTATTTTGAAATCCAGCATAACATTTCATTTCAATCTACTGATGTAGTCCTCTAGGTAGGCCAGAAACTATTAAATTTTCAAAGCTTCTCAGTGCTATTCCTGTATCTAATAGAAATAGCCAATTGAAAATAACCACTGTGGTTTCTCCAGGAACCTGGCTGTGCCTTGTTTCACAATGTCTATTTTCTGAGACACAATGTAACCAAAATTAATCTCAAGCTTATTAAATTGCTGTACCAGCCTTTAGACGTGACTATTTTTATAAGAATAAATTCTAAAAGTTTCTAAAGAAACCGTGAGACACTGCCTGTTATTATTGGCATACACCTGCTGCTGTTATGAATTACATTGCTTCAATAAATGAATTTCAGATAGCAAATTGTTTCTTTACGTATCAAGAATAACCTTTTTTTTTTTTTTTTTTTTTTGGTTTGCGGGCCTCTCACTGCTGTGGCCTCTCCCGTTGCGGAGCACAGGCTCCGGACGCGCAGGCTCAGCGGCCATGGCTCACGGGCCCAGCTGCTCTGCGGCATGTGGGATCTTCCCGGACCAGGGCACGAACCCGTGTCCCCTGCATCGGCAGGCGGACCCTCAACCACTGCGCCACCAGGGAAGCCCAAGAATAACCTTTTTAATAATATGTATTTCAAGTTATAATCCTACTAACATGAAAATAAATTTTTTACTAAAATAAACACACCTGCTTGCTTACATAAACAGAAAGTATCAAGCTCTTCTTTTAACAATTTAGAGTCATTTTTACAATCATCAGTTTTATGCTTGGCTTTAGTATGGTTGCTTCTCTATTTCCTTTCTTACTGTTATTTAGTTATTAAATAACAGTTTAGTTTGTCAGTGTAATGCTGAGCACATGAGAAGTTTAAAAAAGTATTTGTGGAATGCATGCACAAATTCTCAAATGAAGCTTCCAGTTCTCTTCCTAATTTGACGTGGACAGAGAAGTAAGACACCCAAGTATTAAAAATGTGCATTCATTATATCTAATGTTGAATCAAGGGTCTAGCCAGTACACAAGATGCATGAATCTTAGAATACTAGGTATTTCAGTGGGTCAGAACTTTTTCCATTTACTATCAGGTTCTCAGATTTGTTACAGATGTTGAATTTACCAAAAGATTGACCACTGAATAAATCAGGTGTTATTATCAATGAGAAAATGACACGTGGAAATAATATATTGTGTTCTTGGGCAATACTATTACATTAACAAATATATGCCTTGCCTTGAATGGTTTTTATCTTTAGTTATTGGTTTAGATATAGAGGAAAAGTCACACATCAACTTTAGAATTTGCTTCTTTCCACGTGAGGTCAAAATCAATTCTGCGTAACGGTACCCTGAGAGGATAATGTGGTATAAATTGAAAACTGCAAGATTAGTGAGCATCCCTTGGGAACTCTCTGGGTTTCTTTATATATTGCCAAACTATTCTCTGTGTTTTTATTCTTACTAATATCTCCTAGGCTGAATATATTGATACTTTGTCTCTATTATATCTACATTATAGAGGACTTTGATGTATCTCTAAAACTCATTTGTTTTCATATAGTTGAAGTCTATTCCCAGACCCTAGAGATGTTAACTTGATTACGTCAGTGATAAATTAGAGAATGGTGACCAAAAACAAGCAAAAAAAAGCAATGTTGTTTGATAATTATTTTTAGAAAATATTTGTATACTGAAAATACTCTTTTCATCTAGATTGTTGAATTCCCTATAAAAATATAATTTAATTTGGAGAATTATATTTCTATATATGTGCTTTTTCTTCTCTTCTAGTTTTGGTACATTTATTCTTTAATAAAGTTTTAAAGAATTGATTGATACTAAAGTACTAAAAGTTGTTCTGAATTTTAACCTACAATGCTTATTATAATAATCTTAATTTCCATCATGATTTTTCCTGAAATTTCTAAATAAAATGGCAGATTACTTAGAAATGGTCAAATCTGTTTTGACTTTTTAAAATACATCTCAGTGAAATTTGTTCTATGAACAGTAGTATAGATATTCTGTGGAGACTGATGTAATCTCCAGTTCACAAGCTACCTTGGATTTAGATGGCACCTGTCTAAAAGTTGGAAAGCATACTGATTATAGAACCTGAAGTTGGGGTCTGCAGCTCCCCTGGATCTGAGGATGTATTCTGTGGTTTTTACAATCATTTCACTGTATAATTTTAAAAATTTATGCTTCATTCTGTGTATGTGAGCTGAGTAGCAATGTTCTTATTGTCTTAGGTTCAACAACTAAAAACGCAAGGCTGAGAAAAAAGCAGCATCAATTCTCTGCATTTAAAAGAATGTTGAAAATAATTGAGGCTATTATCTCCCTGATGGCTGGTTCCCATTCCCGATTACTGCCCTAGTCCCTATCCCAACCTCAAGTCCATTTAAGCAGAACCCCAGGAAATACGGAGAACCAAAATTTATTCAAGTTGTGAATTATTTACCCAAGGAGGAAACTATGGATTTTTACTTCCTTGCCTGAAGAGTGAAGAAATGGTGCTTACCAAATCCAAGAGAGAAGACCTCAAGGAGTGCCACCACCAGAAATTAGAAGTCAACACTGGTATCTCACTCCCCAGGTGAACGTTTTCTTATGCAGCATACTTGTTGATTTATGCCTGTCTGTTCAGAGGTAAGAGAACTAGTTTATGGATATAAATTAAATGTGATTTATTAAAAATTTCCTATAATTGTACGTTTAATATGTATTTTTTTTCTGGACCCAGTTGTTTCAATATGATCTGTAGTTCATCAAAACACAATAACTAAAAGTAAAATTTTATTACAAGTATATAATAATTTCTTAGAAATGAATTCTTAATGAGATTAAGATAGCATCCTCTTAAGACAAGATTAATTCATACAATTTTATAAGCTATAAAACAAAATTATAAATCAATGGGTTATTTCTCATTACGTATTTTTTAACAATGCAATGTAATACGTAGCTCAGATCATAAATCATTTATTTACCTAGAAATATTTCCTTGTTAAATGTGTGTACATACATGTATTAAACTCTGATGCTTGGTCATTCAAATAGTTAAATTAAAGCATTGTACAAAATCAGAAAGAACTCTATTATTTTACTAGCTATTGTGATCACATTTTTCTTGTATCTAAATAAAGAGAAACTTATCTATTGCCAAAACTAACCAGTCTGGCTAGATTTACTTTTACTTTTTATTAATAAAAGGTAGAAAATAGTCATTTCATAAGATGAAATAAGAGGAGGATTAAATAATTAAATATTTCACAATATGACTTGATAAAATAGGTTTTAACTACTTTGTTGAATAATACATACCAAATCTGAAAGAAAGCATAAAAAATTTGCCTGTGGGTTTTATCCAGTGTATCTTGAAGATCTCAGTAATCTCAAAAAATATTCCAATTACGTTAAAAGGATCTACTTCACTAACCTATACTGCTTCAACTCTTCAAAGTTTTTTTTTTAGCTAATAACAGGTCCCAAGGATGAATCTTGAGAATAGCTTAAAAGAACTACTTATAATTAAATACATGAAAAAAGCTATTTTCGATATTTAACATTTCTTACCTACGTGTTATTTGCTTTGCTCTTATGGAGCTCCCTGAAAATTGATACATTCTTTGACAATGTGAAAAGCTGGAAGAGGTGAGATATTTAAATAACAATTATCAATATCAATCCATTTTAAATGCCAGTTTTTCACTTTTAACAGAAATATCTGTAAGACGGAAAAAGACCCAAGTCCTGAGATGGTTTATATTTCCTTGGTTATCCATTGACACTGATTTGTTTTCTTAAGCCAATATTTTGAAGTCACTTTGTTTGACGTCCAGAGAGATTTTTGAGATGTGTGCCTTTCTTTTGTGAAGCAGGATAGAAGAGATAGGGACAGGAAGGTAGAAGGGAGGAACCTGCTTTGAAGTCCCTTCTACAGATTTATTCTCAGCTAGATCCCTCTCAGGAAAGGACACATCCTTGCTCCATTATTCCTTTTAAATTCTTGGTGTTATATTGCTTTGCATACCTAGGTTTAGAAACTGCTCCAAAGAGTATTGTAAAGGCAGTAATTAAAAAAAACTAAAACTCTCTATTTGTACCTAACCAAGTCCATACTCTTCAATAACTGAAAAACTAGATGGACAGATAGACAGATTTGCATGTATGTATACACATGTTTTAGATCATCTGATAGATTCTTTTATCATCATGCAACTGTGTTGTACTTTCTATGTAAATTTGTGTTTATGGTTTTATTAGACCAAGATATTACATAATGAAGCTTATGTGTGCTGAGTAGTAATTTTAAATGTGTTTAATATTTAATTATAGCATTTCTCAATCTAGGGTCCATAGACCCTTAGGGATCCACAGATACATTCTCAACAGTCTGCATGATCTCAGGTTTGAGAAATTCTGGTTAATGGACTTAGTCATTAAGAGCTCAGGCCATAGAGCCAATCTCATCTGGTTCAAATTGCAGCACCCTCACTTACCAGCTGTGGATCCTTGGGGAAGTTACCTTCCTTCTCTGAATCTCAGTTTTCTCACCTATAAAATGACAGATATAATGCAACGTAAAATGCTCACTTCCTCTTAGGTTGAATTAATTAAGAGAAACATTTCATCCATCCATAAAATCAGTAAGTTAAAAATGTTATTTCAGAATAACAAAGACTCATTATTCTGATGTTTGGATTCTGGATATAATTAAGTGAAAATAGTGTACTCTACTTCAGAAATACTTGTACTACTTTTGTTAGCCATCATGATCAAACTTTTTCTGTGCATTTAAAGAATGAGAAACTTTATATTGCTAAAAATTAATCAATCTGGTAGCTAGCATACAATTTTGGTTTACTAATAGAAAATATATTCATCTTATAAGTTCAAATAACTTGAGGATTAACTCTAATTAGAATGAGCATTTCATTATATGATTTGATGAGTTTGAACTACCAATATAGCTTTTCATTAAATCAGACTCCCTAGAATCCCAAATTGTTCTTTTTCCACTGATAGGAAATTGTCTAATAGAAATATCTTAGCAGAAAATATGGACCTTGTGGGAGGGGAAAATATCAGTAATCATTAACAAAATCATTTCAGTGTTTTATGGGAGAAAGGGAGAATATTTTGGCCCTATGGCAAGCACTGTATACTTCTAATTTAGACCCATATTTCTTATTGTAGGAATGCTGGAAACAACTGATAGATTTTCTAGCAATATCCAGATCAAAGCCACCTTTATTTAGACAAATGGGTACATAATTAATGATACTTTAATATACAGCAAGGTTGAGGATGCTGAGAGGAAAGCATGAGACAAGGATGGGGTTTTCCTCACACCCTCTGTATTATTCATGTTAGACTATCTACTGTAACAGACTGTCCCTAAATCTCAACGGCTTAACACAATAGAGTTTATTTTTCACTCACATTCCATCTCACCTAGGAAGTGACAGGGACATAGACTGTTCTTTATGATTTGTCAGGGACATAGATTCCTGTCAGGTAGCTCCACCATTTTCTAAGGTCTTGGAGTCTTCCACAGGGTTTTCTGCAGCCAGGCAGCAGAGAGGTAGGAAAAAGCACCTGGAGTATCTCATCCAAGGGTTTGGGGCCCAGCTCAGACATTATACATCATTCAAAAACAAGACGAAAACATAGGTATTAGTCCCAACTGGCTGGGGTCTGGTAATCCTCTATAGAAATTCAGGATACTTGGTTTAAGTTCACAGATTCTTTTTTTTTTTTTCTTTTTAAAATTGTATTTATTATTTATTTTTGGCTGTGTTGGGTCTTCGTTTCTGTGCGAGGGCTTTCTCTAGTTGCGGCAAGCAGGGGCCACTCTTCATCGCGATGCGCGGGCCTCTCACTATCGCGGCCTCTCTTGTTGCGGAGCACAGGCTCCAGACACGCAGGCTCTGTAGTTGTGGCTCACGGGCCTAGTTGCTCCGCGGCATGTGGGATCTTCGCAGACCAGTGTTCGAACCCGTGTCCCCTGCATTTAGCAGGCAGATTCTCAACCACTGCGCCAGCAGGGAAACCCAAAGTTCACAGATTCTTGCTGATATTGTAATGATATTATTTTTTACAGATGTTTCTGTTATATTCATACACTATTTTTATTTAATCATAAGTGACATTAATTCATTCATTTCTAACTCTGTGAGACTCTGAACAATCTTGTGTACATATGGACTTAATTCTATTGTAAAGAAATTGCGTCAGTGATAACAAGATCAATTAAGTAATTGCCAGCAGCTTACATATGAATGACTTAAAATCTAATTTCCTAAAAAAAAAATCCACAAAGATTAAGTACAATTTTCCATAACACCCAAGTAAACAAGCATCAAAAGCTCAAGGTTAATAATAAAAATAACAATCATAAAACTAAAATCTCATAGATCTTCTTGCAAATAAATTACTACATTTATGGGTGATAAGATATAAATCTTATGATAGCAAGATCTAACAAGAAAGGAGCATCACCCAAACCTTGCTAATGTTATATTTTAGTGTCTTGATAGGTGACTGACTTATAAATATTCTCCAAACTTCTATTCTACTATTTACTTGATGTTAAAGCCTGGCCAATTGCTTTGTATTTTCAAAATACTCATATCAGGAACTTTAAGTTTCTTATTCTCTCAATATTCTAGTTACTCAAGCTTGGGGGTGTCATTTATAATTTATTTTAATTAATGTGCATTAAAGGTATCTGAGATTTAGATTTTTTAAAATTTCCACTCCTAATAATACTTTTACTCTGAGAAAAATTGTGCAAATGCTGCTGGTCAAAATGCTGATATTTGTTAATCAGCAGATCTAGGATATCTGGGCTGGATTTCCAGCTCTCAGCTTTTGCATCGTGAATAAATCATGACCACATGACCCAAGAAGAAAAGTACATGCTTTACCCAAGATTCAAATACTAGTTAGACCACAATACTTCTACCCACATATTTTGAAGTTTTAAAAAAGTACAATTATTATATCATGTCCATAAAACTGTGGAACATCAAAGTTTACACTGGCATCAAAGGTGACCATATTTATTTCACTGTAAATATCAATACAAGTGAGTCTACCCAGTAATCTATCTTTTTCTACAACTCCATAAAAATATTTTTGTGTTTACACTTTACTCTGTAACTCAAAATCTTACTATATCTAATTTGATTCTATTCCAAGCTCTTCTACATACTATCAGTTTAGTCTTCAGCAAGGCATTAATTTTTCTGAGGCTTAAATTCGATGGGCATTTAGGTTGCTTCCACGACCTGGCTACTGTAAATAGAGCTTCAATGAACACTGTGGTACATGGCTCTTTCTGAATTATGGTTTTCTCTGGGTATATGCCCAGTGGCGGGATTGCTGGGTCATATGGTAATTCTATTTTTAGTTTTTTAAGGAACCTCCATACTGTTCTCCATAGTGGCTATATCATTCCCACACAGTGCAAGAGGGTTCCTTTTTCTCCACACCCTCTCCAGCATTTGTTGTTTGTAGATTTTCTGATGAGGCCCATTCTACCTGGTGTGAGGTGATACCACATTGTAGTTTTGATTTGCATTTCTCTAATAATTAGTGATGTTGAGCAGCTTTTCATGTGCCTCTTGACCATCTGTATGTCTTCTTTGGGGAAATGTCTATTTAGGTCTTCTGCTCATTTTTTGATTGGGTTCTTTGATTTTTTGTTATTGAGCTGCATGAGCTGTTTATGTATTTTGGAGATTAATCCTTTGTCTGTTGATTCATTTGCAAATATTTTCTCCCATTCTGAGGGTTGTCTTTTCGTCTCGTTTATAGTTTCCTTTGCTGTGCAAAAGCTTTGAAGTTTCATTAGGTCCCATTTGTATATTTTTGTTGTTATTTCCATTACTCTAAGAGGTGGGTCAAAAAAGATCTTGCTGTGATTTATGTCAAAGAGTGTTCTTCCTATGTCTTCCTCTAAGAGTTTTATAGAGTCTGGCCTTACATTTAGGTCTTTAATGCATTTTGAGTTTATTTTTGTGTATGGTATTAAGGAGTGTTCTAATTTCATTCTTTTACATGTAGCTGTCCAGTTTTCCCAGCACCACTTATTGAAGAGACTGCCTTTTCTCCATTGTATATCCTTGCCTTCTTTGTCATAGATTAGTTGACGATAGGTGCATGGGTTTATCTCTGGGCTTTCTATCCTGTTCCATTGATCAATATTGCTGTTTTTGTGCCAGTACCATATTGTCTTAATTACCGTAGCTTTGTAGTATAGTCTGAAGTCAGTGAGTCTGATTCCTCCAGCTCTGCTTTTTTCCCTCAAGATTGTTTTGGATATTCGAGGTCTTTTTTGTCTCCATACAAATTTTAATATTTTTTGTTCTAGTTCTGTAAAAAAAATGCCATTGGTAATTTCATAGGGATTGCATTAAATCTGTAGATTGCTTTGAGTAGTATAGTCATTTTCACAATATTGATTCTTCCAATCCAATAACATAGTATATCTCTCCATCTGTTTGTGTCAGCTTTGATTTCTTTCATCTGTGTCTTACAGTTTTCTGAGTACAGGTCTTTTACCTCCTTAGGTAGGTTTATTCCTAGGTATTTTATTCTTCTGGTTGCAATGGTGAATGGGATCGTTTCCTTAATTTCTCTCTCTGATCTTTTGTTGTTAGTGTATAGGAATGCAAGAGATTTCTGTGCGTTAATTTCATATCCTGCAACTTTACCAAAATCATTGATTAGCTCTAGTAGTTTTCTGCTGGCATGTTTAGGATTATCTATGTATAATATCATGTCATCTGCAAACAGTGACAGTTTTACTTCTTCTATTCCAATTTGGATTCCTTTTATTTCTTTTTCTTCTCTGATTGCCATGGCTAGGACTTCCAAAACTATGTTGAATAACAATGGTGAGATGGACATCCTTGTCTTGTTCCTGATCTTAGAGGAAATGCATTCAGTTTTTCACCATTGAGAATGATGTTTGCTGTGGGCTTGTCATATATGGCCTTTACTATGTTGAGGTAGGTTCCCTCTATGCCCACTTTCTGGAGAGTTTTTATCATAAATGGGTGTTGAATTGTCAAAAGCTTTTTCTGCATCTATTGAGATGATCATATGGTTTTTATTCTTCAGTTTGTTAATATGGTGTATCACATTGACTTCTGTATACTGAAGAATCCTTGCACCCCTGAGATAAATCCAACTTGATCATGGTGCATGATCCTTTTAATGTATTGTTGGATTCTGTTTGCTAATATTTTGTTGAGGATTTCTGCATCATATTCACCAATGACACTGGTCTGCAATTTTCTTTTTTTGTAGTATCTTTGGTTTTGGTATCAGGGTGATGGTGGCCTCGTAGAATGAGTTTGGGAGTGTTCCTTCCTCTGCAATTTTTTGGAAGAGTTTGAGGATGGGTGTTAGCTCTTCTCTAAAGTTTGATAAAATTCACCTGTGAAGCCATCTGGACCAGGACTTTTGTTTGTTGGAAGACTTTTAACCACAGTTTCAATTTCATTATTTGTGATTGGTCTGTTCATATGTTCTATTTCTTCCTG